ACTTATGGTTCCTATTGTGTTTATGCCATGTATTAGAGCTCCTAGCATTGTCCCTATTTTTTCTTCCATGATCTTTATCATTTACACTGTATATTTAAGTCTTTGATCAATTTTGAGTTAGTGTTTGTGCATGGTGGGAGGTATGAGTCTTGTTTCAGTTTTTTGCAGATGGATATCCAGTTATGCCAGCACCATTTGTTAAAGAGAGTGTCTTTTCCCCAATTAATGGAATTTGGGCCTTTGTAAAATATCATCTGTTCATAGGTGGATGAATTTATGTCTGGATTCTTAATTCTGTCCCATTGGTCTATGTATCTGTTGTTGTACTAGTACCAGGCTGTTTTGACTACCATGGCGGTGTAATAGGTTCTAAAACCAGGTAGTGTGAGGTCTCCCACTTTGTTCTTCTTGAGTAATGCTTTACTTATTTGAGACATCTTCCTTTCCATGTGAAGCTGGTGATTTGTTTCTCCATCTCATTCAAAAACGCTGGTGGAAATAGGATGGAGATTGCACTGTATCTGTTAATCACTTTGGGTAGAATTGACATTTTCACAATGTTGAGTCTACCTATCCATGAACGTGGTATGTTTTTCCACTTATGCAGGTCTCTTGGTTTCTTGCAGTAGTGTCTTGTAGTTTTCATTGTATAGATCTTTTACATCTCTGCTTAGATTTATTCCTAAGTATTTTATCTTCTTTGGGGCTATTGTAAATGGTATTGATTTGGTGATTTCCTCTTCAAGGTTCTCTTTGTTGGTGTAAAGGAGTCCAACTGATTTTTGTGTGTTTATCTTCTATCCTGAAACTTTGCTGAAATTTTCTATTAGTTCCAGTAGTTTTCTTGTGGATTCTTCGGGGTTTTCTGTGTATAAGATCATATCATCTGCAAATAGAGATACTTGGACTTCTTCCCCATCGATTTGGATGCCCTTTATTTCTTTTTCTAGCCTAATTGCTCTGGCTAGGGCCTCTAGCACAGTGTTGAATAAGAGTGGTGACAGATGGCATCCTTGTCTGCTTCCCGTTCTAAAAGGGAATGCTTTCAAAGTCTCTCCATTTAGGATGATGTTGGCTGTTGGCTTTGTATAAATGCCCTTAATTATATTGAG